CAATTTTTCACAGTTTTCAATTTTTAGTTTGTATAAAAAAAATAAAATCATTCATTCTTAATCAAACAAAGGTTGCAAATCGAACATGCACTGTAATATGGTGAGCCAATTGTCTGCAGTACAGTGCAGTACTGTGCCGTACAGTGCAGTACAGTGCAGTACCGTTAATCTCATATTCCTATACTTAATCAGAGTTTAAGCATTTATTTCTATATTCAGGGCTTCTGACGTCTCCTCATATTCTTCCACAGCTGAATATTATCTAAGTTTTCATGAGACAGTTCTTTCATCTCCGTTCCTGACAACCACAGCAGGTCGGATTAAAGAAAATCGGGTCTCGTGGCTAGATATACCTCTCCCTCAGGTAAACTTAATCCTTACTCATCATTTATTATTATACCTTCCTGAGCTTTAAGCAGTAAACCTTAAACATTCCTTACCTTTAAGCAGTAAACCTCAGACCTTCCTGAGCTTTTAGCAGTAAACCTTAAACATTCCTTACCTTTAAGCAGTAAACCTCAGATCTTCTTGATCTTTCAGCAGTAAACCTTAAACATTTCTTACCTTTAAGCAGTAAACCTCAGACCTTCCTGATCTTACAGCAGTAAACCTTAAACATTCCTTACCTTTAAGCAGTAAACCTCAGACCTTCCTGATCTTTCAGCAGTAAACCTTAAACATTCCTTACCTTTAAGCAGTAAACCTCAGATCTTCCTGATCTTTCAGCAGTAAACCTTAAACCTAAAATATAAACATGTAGAAGTGAGCATTCAGCCACTTCTAATTAATTTATTATAGATTAGGTTTCAGGTTGAAGAAATTCTAGATCAGAAATCAGATCGTTGAAATTTATATTAGGTTTTAGGTTGATGAAATTCTAGATTAGGGTTTAGGTTACAGAAATTCTAGATTAGGTTTCAGATTGAAGAAATTCTAGATTAGGGGTTTAGGTTACAGAAATTCTAAATTAGAATTAAGGTTCTGGAAATTCTAGATTAGGATTCAGGTCATTGTAATTTATATTAGGTTTCAGGTAATTTGATTTTTTTATTAGGTTTCAGGTCATTTGAATTTATATTAGGTTTCAGGTCATTTGAATTTTAATTAGTTTTCAGTTTATTAGAATTTTAATTAGGTTTCAGGAAATTTGAATTTAAATTATGAACCATGCAGATTATTAATATTTAGATTAGCTTTCTGCTTGATGAACTTCAAAATTTAGACCAATGTTCTTGATAAAGATTCCGGTTCTAGAAGGTCTAAATCGGGATCCATATTTTAAGTCAATCAAGATTACGGTTCTAGAAATTGTATATTCTCTGTGTTTAGGAGCATGGTGGAGTAACTGCTACTGTAGTAAGAGTATGGATCCGAGATAATGAGAAGTCGGAAACTTTATTCGTCCTGGGTCTTTATTTCTCCGGGTTGGTCTGTCTAGGGGACACAATGATGATGAAAACTGTTCAGCGTCTTCAACCCAACTCTCTAATATTCAAACTTCACGGACATTTCTTCGTAGCTAGTGATTCCTTTATAAACGGTTTGTGTATACCCAAGATAAGATTTCATGAACTCCCATTTAAACATAATTTTATCGGGAAACCTAGTTATTCTAAAACCTCTCTAGCTAAGATGCAAAGGACCCTACGGGCGCTGAAACAGATAAATCTAGGAAATGAACGACTAAAGAGTGAAATATTATGCCGAGGGCTAGACCCGGCATGTTCAGATCTCCCTGTTCCAGTTCAAACAACTTCACTTAGACAACAAATTTTTAGTAAACAATTCAAACAGCCGGCAACAAAGAAAAAAGAAATAATCCTGCAGAAGAAAATTGAGGCTTTAAAACTAAAACTGCATTTGCTGCACCAAGAGAGAGATAGTATAATTGATTCGATCGAGAGGAAGAAGGAGAAGTTTCAAGATGCTATCTCCGAGACTGATAAATCTATTGACGAGATGACAGAGAAGTTTCACAGTCTCAGTAAGGACAAGGAGAAGTTAGCAGACTGGTTGAAAACCTTTGACGAGTTTAGGAGTTATAACTCTCACACCCGATCCGATCTGATCATTCGACGGAAGCAGTTGATATCTCAGCTTGGGGAGATATTTCCGATCAATGATGCCAAAACCTCTCATCCAACTATAGGAACGTTATCTTATGACCATCTTGAAATATATTTATGATGATTATGAATAACTAAATTGAATCGCAATTCGAAAGTGACGCTTTGTCTTGACAACTTTTTACCTCTTATTTCTAGTTCCTACAGATTAATTTATCATCACTACGAAATCCCTTTTCTGAATGGTAAAATTTTGTTGCGAAGCTTTTTGCTTCAACGCAAAATTAAACTATTTTAAGTCCTCTTCAACATTATTAAAGATAACCAAGAGAAGATTATTTTGCACAAATTTTTATGGAATAACGTCAATAACCTTCCACATTCGACAATACTCAATTAACGTTTTTACCAACTTTTTAAGTTAAATATCTTGATCCTCTTTAAAACTAAGATGTTTGCTTATGTTAACGTATCCCTAGCCTACGTGAACCTGCCCGAGACGGATTTACTCAAGGATCGGGATGAGACTGAGGTTGCTGTTGCTCTAGGTTGGACTGCCCATCTCACCTTGATGATATCTAGCCTACTCATGGTTCCTACTAGATACCATATCAACCACTTAGGATCAAGGTGACAGTAAAAGTGTATTCCTAATTAAAACAGTACCATTTACATAGAATTACGCTTTAATATTTGCTTAGACATCGAATCATTTCCATTTATGTAAAAGAAAATGTAGTTACTGGAATTATATCGTGAGAAGGTTAAATTTGTTTGTTAGAATAAAAATATAAATAAAAATAAAATTATATAAATGAATATAATGGTTCTAGGTCCGCGATGGTAGATTATGTTCTGGATAAGATTCCAGACAGAGAAAGAACCTTCTCACTTTTCCCTAAGGTTGGATTAAGTTAATTTTTTAATGTTATTGAAACCTTGATATTTTAAAACTATATTAGATTAAATTCTGATAAAAAAATAAGCTATTCTAAGGTATTAAAGTTGAAAAGAAAACTCTAATTTAAAACAGTTTTGTCAGAATCAAATTAGCATTCTTTATATAATCCTTAGAACGAAATGAGCTGAAAAGATATAAATAAATGAATGCTGTTTTCAGGGTACGGAGAGAACCAGGTTTGAATATGCCGTATATCTCCTGAACAAGAGTATTGCTCAGCTCCGGTGGCACTGTGATGAGACTACGGCTGATCTTAAAGGAACTCTGCGAAACCTGGATGGTCTCCTGGGACTCCTTACAACAAGGGAACCCTTGTCATCTATATCTGTCAGATTAAATCTTCCCCACGCTCCTCCGGTTCTCTCCGGAGTAGCAACTTATCTCTCCAGGGGAACTCCACCAGGAAGATCGAAAATATTCTCCGATGGTGAGAACTTGAAAGATCTGAACCCGTCTCCCGTAGATCAGATTGTAGATTCATTTGTATCTGATTCTAGTGATGGAAGCCTAAAGCTAATATCAGAGACTTCCCCCCAATCAAACAATCCCTGCGCGGATGAAAATAGCAACTCCGACGAGAACGGAGAAGAAGAGTCGGACAAATCTGAAAGCTCCGGCTCCGTAGAGGAGGTTGCAGACTCAGGTTTCAAGACGGATCCAGCTCCGGAGGAGTTTTTTGAAGAACACGTTCCAGAAACGGAGTATGCAACCTGCTCCGGGTCTGAGGATGGTCTGGAGACTAGTGTTGAGATCGGAGTTGCTGCGGATATTTTCTGGGATACAGTAACAAGTAGAGCTCAGGTTTTATCCGTCCCTGCATCGTTCAAGACAAACAAACAGAAATCATTCCGAAAATTCTAGTTTTGTTTTGATAATTTTTGAATATTATAGATCTAAAGTATATAAAGTATGAATATTGAATTATGATTACAGATAGTATGGAGTTGAGGAGTCTTGGTTTGTGTTCAGGGGGACTACTAGGAGTAACCAGTTTTGTTGCATCTAGGTAGGGAACCTTCTTCTCTTCTTGATTTATTTAAATTTTTTCATTGCCAAATCTATTCTCGACCGTTCCCTCTACACATCAATAATGAGGAAGATATCATCGTCTTCTTAAATTCTATAAATTTTCTTCTTGACTTTGCTGCAAAAATCCGTAAATAATTTGTTAGATGAAACCCTCAATTGAAAATTATCATTTTTCCGACAGAAAACAATAATATCAGCATTTGTTTGCTCAGATAAAGGTTTAATGTGTACTGTTGGTAAGCGGAAATTAAGTCGAGCTTACCTTTAGTACTGAATGTTTTTTAGTCATCCTGCTGACAGCTGTGGTCTTAATGGTCTTCCTCTCACACCTAACAGTGTATCCATGCATGGTAACGGACAGATACTAAAGTTAGTGAACCATCCTAACCTAGCCAAATACCTCGATATTGTCCGAGGTAAACGACAGAGGATTGTTCTCGTCTCAGAGTTCTGGAAGAACAATATTCGTCAAGATTCATCCGTTTTCTCTTCTCCAGACTCAACACTTAGAGTGTCAAAACAAATCCTCTCCGGTCTATCGTATCTTAATGAGATGGAGATAATCAACCTGAACCTTACTCCAGAGAACATAATGTTGGACAGCGAGGGAACAGTTAAAGTATTTGGTTACGGGTTGGGACGGATCACAGAGTACGGGAAACTAGTAAAGTTTCCTATTGGAGATCCTAGATTTACCGCCCCGGACGTTCTAAGACGCGGAATGCAGACTGAGACAATGATTGATCTCCAGGCTGAGAGATCTAACCCCTGTGAATACTCGATCAATATCCCTGAAGCTGGTGAACCTCCTGATCTCCCCCAGGTTGATGTTTGGTCCCTAGGAATGATCCTGGTCGGAGAACTTCTTCAGATTCATCAGTTCTGGCCTCAGTCCAAGGTTGGCCAAGTACTCCGGAAGATAATAAGTCTAGGAGAATGTGAGAACGGTTCAGCTGTTCTAGAAAAAATTGCTCGAGAGCATGGTTGTCCAGGACGAATAAGCACACTAGACCCGAGTATTCTCTCGCTCATTCAGAAATGTCTCACTCCTAAATCCTCAGATCGTCCTACTCCAATAGATCTACTTAACTCTAGTCTTTTCTCCGCCTACCCTGGATTAAAACACTTCAGTATCCCGACCTTCCCTGTCATGGAACTGCGAAGCTTGGAACTCTCTCGTCCTGATATCAGTAGGTACGTTGAACCTCTTGATTTCCTGACAGTTGATGAGATCTACTACCTGTGGCAGTTGGCTGGAGGAGATGTGATGGTGGAATTACGGAAGCATGGTCTCATGATTACTTCTCCGCCAGTAATTTCAACGCCTACTCTGGTTACTGGTGAAGGGCAGGTATTGATTTTTCTCCCAAGTTATCTCTTTTTTTTAATTCCATAGTTCAATAAAACGGTTTTTTAGGAAACACGCCCAATTAGAAGTGCTTTTACTTATTATAACGGACAATCTTTATCAAAATCTATATAAAACTAGTATAATATTTTTGATTATATTGAATAATATTTAATTAAAAGAATGATTAAACTTGAAAACTTCATGTCTACATTTCATGAATTAAATTCAAACAAACGTTTTTTCTTTATTTTTGTTATTTGAGGAGTTTGGAGCCCCCCGACAGCGTGCAGCTCTCTACGATAAAACAATAATACCCCTGCCCCTGGACCAGCTGATACAGTGTCTATCAACCCTACATAGATCTGAACTGATTCCAACCCTGCAGGATATCAAGGCAGCTGAACCTAACCAACTACCTCTAGTAATCCGGGAGAGAGATGTCAGGTTTCAGTGCAGAAGAGCTGTGGCATACAGGCGTCTCCTTCAGGGATATCCTTTCAGGTTAGTTTATTATTTTAAGTTTCAATTATCTGTTCTTTTTTTTGTATTTTAATATGACTTTCCATTTCAAAAGGACCATGAAAGGACATGTTAGATTCACATACGGTACTTTTTTAACCTTTATCTGATCAAAAGTTAATTAGATATCTCTGTTATTTTCGAGCTTGAAAAGTGTTGAATTCTGATTAAACTTTGCAGGGATCCATTTAAGTCCATCTGATCAATCCCAAATGTTGATTGATTGATATTAGGGGCAGAAATAAACCATGTTATTGTAAACAATTGGAAGTATAATGTCAAGTTGTAGAAAAATTCCATACTTCAGAATGTTTACTGCAAGGGAGTGTTTATTTTTATGTATATCATAATTTATTTCTTATATTAAATACTAATATTTACATCGTTTAACACCCCAAATGCAGTACACATTTCTGGAGTGTAGTACACGTACACAAAAACTTGTCAAAGTTCACAATGACACATAAAGTGTACTTTCATGCCCCTAAATGTACTTTAAACCCCGATCCCATTTGGGATCAGCAATAGAATTATATGGACCGCTGTATTCTTTGTTGTTCTGGTAGCGTAAATTTACTAGTCAACTATGGATGTCTAGTTTAATATGGTTAGACAAAGCATTTAAGGGTACCGTTGTTAATCTGACATATGTAAATCTATAAATGGCGGATCACCTGAAAATACGTTGTACGTCCCTTTTTTTAAATTGTTTAGAGTGCCATCAATAAATCACAATAGTACTTCTTACATCCATAAGCCAACTGTTATCATCTACATCATTTTAACTTAGGTGTAGATAGGATAGATTTGTGATAAATTGATTTAACGTTTTTAATAAAAACCCATCTGAATTGTTAGAACAGTCCCCCTTTAGTATTTCTTTTTTTGTAACTGTTGAACCTTAATCTCGAGATATTAAATTAAATTCTATTCTTGATTTTAACTGTTTAAAGAGCTTTATGTCTACAGTTCAATGTTATTTTAATATGTTCTGTCATTCATTCAGTCTATTATTCTTTCTAGTCTAGAATATATGGAAAATATTAAAAATGTATATCAAATATTTTGTTGTAGAAAAAGTGTGATTGAAGAGGAGAGCTACCATGATATAGTTCCCCTGTACCGAGCACAAATATGGGCTGGACTCCTTGGACTAAACTACGATACTGCTGCTCTATACAACAGTATAGACAAGGTGACCTGGAACCCAGTTGACCGACAGATAGAGGTCGATATACCCCGCTGTCACCAGTACAATGAACTCCTTGCTTCGGAGGAGGGGCATAGGAAGCTGAAGCGTATACTAAAGGCCTGGGTAGTTGCAAACCCAAATCTTGTTTACTGGCAGGGATTAGATTCATTAGCTGCTCCTTTTCTTCTTCTTAATTTTAACTGTGAAGCAACGGCCTGGGCCTGCTTATCTGCATTTATTCCTAAGTATTTATACAATATGTTCCAGAAAGATAATGCTGCCGTTATTCAAGAATATTTAACAAAATTTTCCCATTTACAAGCTTTCTATGATCCGGTACTGTTCAATCATCTTGACGAGATCGGATTTATCCCTGATCTCTACGCAATACCCTGGGTTCTAACCATGTTCAGTCATGTGTTCCCCCTGCATAAAATATTTCATCTGTGGGATACCCTTTTGCTAGGAAACTCCAGTTATCCACTGTGTGTAGGGATGGCGATCCTTCTCCAACTTCGAACCCAGCTCATGGAATCACAGTTTAACGAGTGTATACTTCTCTTCAGTGAAATGCCCTCTGTAGATATTGACAGTGTAGTCTCCAATAGTAAAGTTATCTTTAAGTCTATACCTCCTAGTATAACATTCCGAGCCCATGATCAGGTTCGGGAGAAGGCTGATGATTATCTTGATCTTCAACCCCTTCCTGTCAGCGTCCTTAGGCAGGAGAAGATTGGAAGAATTAGTGCCAGGGACGTGATTGATCTTCTAGATGTTCGTAAAGAGAAGTACAGTACACCAAAGATTTTTATCCTTGATGTCCGGAGTAGAGAGGAGTTTAAGGTTGGTTCTCTACCCGGAGCTCATAATATTCCGTCCCATCTGTTCCTGGAGACTCAATCTATACCTGGAGATCCTGCCCTGGACCTGGTTAAATCCAAGGGTAGGATTACAGCAGTGCTGGGACGAGACGGAGGAGATGAGATGGTTAAGGTTGCGGAGCTCCTTCTCTCTCATCAGTTCTCCAGGGTAGTGACTGTACACGGTGGAGTAGAAGTATTTAGAAAAGCAGATATCCTTGTACTCCCAAACCTGCCATAAGCTGAAGCAAACAAAGGTCGGAAATTTGTGCATCGCTAATCTTGAATTTTTTTATCTCGATATCTAATGTGGACACTTTTAATTTGAGGATAAATGCTTAGTCCCTTAATTAAAGTTAACCCTGACCATCACGAGATAGAGATATTGAAAAGGAATTAGATTAACTATTCTCACTTCCGAGATTCACACTTCAGATTGTTCAACTCAAGCTTAAACACAAACTAAATTTTATTTTTTTTTTAATCATATTTATTCTTTGAAATAAAGGAATACTGAAGGCGGAGTTGGGGGGGNGGGGGGGGATATATGGAAAATAATTTAGCGACACCCAAAAAGCGGGGAAATACATTGAAAAATTAATATAAAGGATTTAGTAAAGAACTAATACGTTTCTGAAAATTTCAGTATCTTAGATTTAAGTTCAGACATAAATTACAAAGTTTAACGCGGTAATTTCATAAAAAAAAAATTTTAAAATCATTTCTGGTTTTTATTGTTAATTTCCGTCGATATTGGAGAAATAGGCGTTAAGAATTGGGAAAGGAAAACAAAGAAGAAAAACATACAAAAAGTTTTATTTTACCTGTTGTGTATGGTTTTGCCATAGGCTTGTATTGTAGCATTTACCATCTATCTGTGATAATATTCTAATTATTTAATCTACGCTTGTAGTCTTTTATTGTTTGTCATCATAATTATGAATAAAATGATTAAAATTTTATAACGATTAGTGGACTGTGATTTTTAACATAATTAACTATATAACACTGTTATTTTGGTTCGCAGTGTTATAAAGTTTTTGGACAGAAATTTTCTCTTTATCTAGAAGGCGAAAACCTTTGAGATGTAGAGAAAATTTAAGTACAAACACTTTTTTGCACGTCGTGCCAAAATAATAGTATTATAGGTAATTTTATATAACGTTTGTGTACTTGTCTTATTTCAATGACTGGTTCTAGGTCAAATAAGCTTTGAAACAAAGCTGAAGTCAAAATATAAAGTTGATTTCAATTTTATTTTCATTTCAATTGAATAAATATTTTGGAAATATCCTAAATGTTTCTAAATGTTTTTGAAAAAATCCGGGAACCAATCAAAACATAGCATGCGTGCCAAAATGTTCATCTTATTTAACATTATAGATGATTATGATTACTTTATAGAACGTTCATTATAAAATTCACGATGAAGTGAGTTAAGAATGATTAAGTACACTACAGTTTCATAAATTGTTTTGTATGTTGTAACAAAAAACAAAGCCTTAAGTATATGCCTGACTGCCTAGATGCTGCCTTAAAAGTTTAATCTGCTTGATGTTATCTTCTTTATGCAATACAATTGCAGTCAGGCAGTTGGCTTATGCCTTAGGTTTTTTTGCTACAACATGTCTTATGACTGTTTCGGAATATTCACAAAATATGGCCGGGGACCATAACTTTTAAGATTAAAAAAAAATCACCAAAAAAAAAACAATATTAAGATTTTAAAAAATCACAAAAAAAAAACAATAAAGTTTTGATATTACAGTTACATTTGACTAGACCTGAAAATGCACTTGATTTTTTTCAATTTCTTAAAAATGTACTTTCTCAGAAAGGGCTCCTCAGGGATTTCTAATTTTTGGTTTCATATCTTCTATTACCCTACCAAAGATGTTTTAATTAACAGAACTAGAATGCTAAGCATAAAGCCTGAAATTGCTTCAAGCACTAGTATTACTTATTCTCACGTCGCACCATGCTTCAAAATGAAGAAAAACGGCCACAAAGGGAAATTCGAAACATAAAGTTATAAAGAAAAAAAATATTTTTGTTAAAAACAGCATAAAAATGTCGGCAAGTTGGATTGTATCATTTTTCCCTTTTTTAATCACTAAAGAACGAGCCTCTCAACATTTTACCAATATTTCGAACAATTTTGTTCATAATATATTGTTATTGTTTTTACACTTGACATAGTAATAAAATTTTAGATTATTAAAATTTAAAGAATTTTATGTAATGTTTTCAAAAATTGGGAGAAAAAAAATCAATTTATTTTATTCAATTTTTTGGTCATGTTTTTGGGAGGATAATTCACAAGTTATTAAATAGATTTTAAAACTTTAAGTGGTTGCAAAAAAAAGTTCCACTAGAACCCACCTTAAAATCTTCCCTAATATACTCAGTGGGGTCTAAAAAAACATCTGTGATCATTTTTGACTGCCCATATTTTCCCGTTTTTACACACGTCAACTAATTGTATAGGTATTTGGAATGGATTTTCTGACCCCAAAAATATGTATCTGATGTGTCAATTTTGGGTTTCTTGAGCCAGCATGAATCCAGCTTGCTCAACAGAAATTCCATGCATCCCATTTTTAACCCTATGAAGGAATTTTCTGACCCCAAAAACATGTATTTTGATATGTAACATTCAAATTTCAATTTTTGGGGCAGGATGCATCCGGAATGCTTAACAGAAAGCATGCATCTCATGTTTAACTCTAAAATAGGATATATAATCTGTCCCCAAAAGCATATATTTTGATATGTAATATGCCAATTTTCAATGTTTTGAGCCAGTATGCATCCGGCATGCTTAACAGAATACATGCATCTCATTTTTTCGTCTGAAAATGGATTTCTTGACCCAAGAAACCTACAATTAGATATCATTTTTTATCATTATTTAATGTGTAAGTAGTTTTGGCCGATTTTTCCCCATTCTGAGGCATAGTGCCGAGTGCGTCGTCTTAAGTATTCAATAGAACATATTTCTGTTTATTAGGACAATAGTCATTTTGAACTTTAGTTCGATCGATCATTAGTCGTATTGACAAGAAACAGGCAAGTCAAAACAATTCTTGAATCCTGTATTGAGACTGGGGTTTCCTTTTGTCAGGATTCCGCGAAAAAACTAAATTTCCTCAACTTAATTGGAAAAGTTTTATACAGTGCTCTCTGTTGGATCTTTTTTTTTTGTTGATGTAAAAGCTAAATATCTTTTAACGGAGACTAAAATTCGGGGCATGGAGACAGAATGGCAGAGGCGAGGAGAGGTAGCAAGAGGCGTGGAGACGGTCTCGCGGGGCATAGAGGGTATTCTGCGTATCAGGAGGCTCCAGGCTCCCGGATGTCATTTCGTGGGGTTCATGACGAGATGATACCAACTATAGATTTAGTATTTATTAAAGGAAATGTCCATTCCTTGTCCACTTTTTTTCTGGAGACCACAGTAGTATTAAAACTTTGGAGTTAAACAAATTAATCTCTGCTCTCTTTGAATATTAAAAAACGGCATTATATTGGAAATTTGATAATATGGGATTTTATACAATATTTTCAATTTGATATATTTGTAATATGTTTAACATACAGAGTTACCCATAAAGAATGATACAAATCTTTTTATTGTTATAAATATTTATATGCTACTGTAGACTTGTTTTTAAAGTCAAATTTGGGTCCGAGAATCATTTTCAAATCAACATATTTAAAGAATTTTAGGTTGGTATGAAAGACTCAAGTCTCATCTTTTGGGGGTAACCCTGTATATAAATAAAATTGAAAAGTGGAAAAAAGTCTTAGTACAATGTGCAAGAGTCTTGCCAATTTTTTGCTAATCTATAACTACATCTTTCTTCAGATGAAACCAAAAAAAATATGAAAGGCGATTATATAAACACGATGAAGACGACTTTTTTATTTAAGATTTGATTGTTAACAACCTTTTTTCGAACTACAAGCTTACAAGTTATCGAAGAGAAGCTTTTTTAATTGACAGCTTCTCTTGACTTCTATATGTTTACTAGGCTTTCATTTCATTTACTTCTATTTCAATTGTGAACATTTTCTCTTGGTATCCATTGTAAGACAGAAAACAAAAAAAGTTGGCGATTTTTATAAAATAAATTGTGGCTTTTTTTAATTTAATGAAAATCGAATTTTGTTGAAGGCTAATTTTTGAAAATTTGATTATCCATTAACCTTCCTTGGGGTCATTTGAGGTCCCACACAAAATTTGGACCCGATCGGTTTAGCCGTTTTGATGTTTATTGGATACGAACAGACAAGCAAAGTATATTTATGCTGTTTAACAGCTTGTTATAAATAAAATATCGTCGAAAGTCGTCTTCATTGTATTGATGCAATCGCCTAAAACCATCTCTCAACAATTGCATATTAACCCTAAATAAAGATTTCAGAACTTTATGTGCTAATCTTATCCTCTCAAAAACATAATTCTGCTCTAAATTGGATGAACAAAGCCATTTATCCGAAATTGACTGCAATGATTTTGGTTAGAATTTCTTACTGTCTCCACATCTGCAGCCATTCTTTTTTAAAATTTTTTTAATTATGTTGCACCAGAGCTGAGTGAAAAATGTTAATGGTTTTCTAGAGTTTTGATTAGAGGTCCATTTTAAATAAAGAGTCAAAATTATAATGAACTGCAGAATCAATTTTCGTTGATTTCTGATAATTTCTTGTTAGATTTTTATCCCTTTACTTTGTTGCATTTCCTGATAATCAAACTGTATCACTGTATCAAAATAAAAATTAAAAATTTTAAGATCTATCTTGTCCAAGAAAATTCTGCTCTGTCTATGAAATGTTCTCTTTTTAATTTCCTGTCTATAAGAAGTCCCAACATAAAGGAACTGAGTTTTTGCCACAAATTCGATTTCACAATCGCTTTATCTTTGTAACCTGATAGTGTAAGCCTTTGATATTTCAAACTATCATTATTTAATCTAAAATGAGTCATAGTTTGAAATATCTAAGGTCTCCAACATTGAAATGCAAAGATATAAGGATAAGAAGGATAAGAAAATCTGAGTTTGTGACACAAACTCAGTTCCTTTATATTACATGTAAATGCACAAAATTTAAACAACAGGAATATAAGGAGTTGACTGTAACTGTTTTTTCATCCTTTTTCTTATTTTTTACCCAAAAATTAATTTATGTTTCACTAAAATCATTTGTTTTCCTCAATTAAGCGAATATAATCTTTTTAAAAAACTTAGCTAACATAAGGGAGGAAAAATTATTTTTAAAGAGGGGAAAATTATCTTTATGAAAATATACCCCCCTAGTGTTTCTTCCTTGCTAATTTTAATTCTCCTAACTTTAAGCAAAGAAAGACAGTTATCAACATATTTAAAGTAATAATCTCTGTTATTTGTTTGTCCGATCATAACCCATGAACTCCTTGACCGATTTACCTCTAATTTTGACTGGGGAACTCGATAGAACCACAAAAATGTTCTTAGCTTGATTTTAAAGTTCTCAGTTGAATAGGTTAACCCTTATAAAGAAAACTCTGTTTCCAGGGAAAGGTGGGTTCCCTTAAGCTAGTTAATAATATTCTTAAAGAGATGATCAACGTAATTTTAACATTATGTAATTTGAGAATAACAGTTTTGCACTCAATACATTCATATTTAGTGCAAAACTGTTAT